TGAGTATGAAGGAAGCAGCATCAATGAAGAAACGAACCAAATAGGTCCCCTGGTTTGACGAAGAGTGTGGAACCATAACTGAACTAAACTTACTCCAATACTAAAATACAGTTTATTTACAACCCTGGAAAACAAGATTCCTTGTACGAATCCATGGTGTTATGGCGAGGACCGTTAGTTTTCTATCAATGTATCAAAACCAGAAAGGATACGGCTTGAAACTTGTTGACGAAATCCAATGTTGAGCGGAGCTGGTTTAATATTTGTTACAAGCATTAGGGATATTCTGTTTTTATGGATCGGTTATACAACAGCTACGAGTTAGCTTCAGATCTTTTCCAAATGAAAACGTACTGTACTGCAACTCTAAATATAAAAAGAAAAAATTATCCATGTAAGTCCTTATTTTATAATAGGTGCACATTGGTAAATGAAGATCCAAACGCGACGTCCTGTATAAAACGACGGAATATAGAAATGACATGGCTGAATCCAGAAATAAAGAAGAGCGCATAACACTAAAAACCTGCTGCAATTATCAATTACAACAAACCCTTGGACCCGCAGAACACTGCGCTGGTACAAAAAAATATTTCTCCATATATTACAAATGAGTGGAATAAATTCTTAAAAATATATATATTCTTAATAAATTCAAACGATCAAGATGATGAAAACTGTAGTAGAAAGGAATATACAGTTTATAGAAGTAAAAAGAGGAGGACTGCAAGTACGTACCTTTATCATTCCTGTGAAGGTTCTCCTGGTTTTTGCGATGAATGTTGTTTTATTTATCATAGGCAACAAATTATAGAACTCACACTTACATATTACATCTATAGTTGTGAGGCACTAGCAATGAGATTTTTGTTAGAAGTGCCGACTACACCTAAGTGTTTTTATTGTTAATAATAATTGTTTTAACAATTTATATAAATTATAGCTATAAAAAGCATCTTTGTTGATTAAACCCAACGATCTAACAACCTGGCTCGCTACGCTTCTCTCAAGCAATTTAATTAATATAGAATGTCACACACCTCATTATATCTACATTCTTTGTACATGAACAGTAGAAGATCTTTTAGAGTGTAGGTCCAAGGATTGATATACAGAGTGTGTCCCGAAACTCAACGTCAAGCGGACACCGGCTGAGAGGCCAACCCATACCTGTTCTGGTAAAAATAAGAAAAAAGTTCTATGTCTTTTAGTTAAGTGGTAATAGACAACTTTTGAAAATGTTAAAAGTCGTTCCCGTACATCATATCTTTAGGTAAGTACTATGGTCAAAAATGTTCGCAATTTAATAGTGATTTTTGTAATAATATATTCCTTATGAACCATGACAACCACCTACAACAACAAAACTTCTTTGTTTTGCAAAAAAAAAAAGTTAGTTTGATTGAGTTAAGGTTGAAAGAATTTATTTCTATTAAGTTTGACACACGACTTCTAAAAAAAGAAGTAGTACAACACCCTTGGCAAGTTATTTTACACGATGCCTGTTTAGTCAAGATTCCAAAATGGTATAACACTTGCCATTTTTTTTTTTCGTAAACAATATTATTGCCTATTCGGAACACACTCCCGATAGCCAAGGACAAACTAACTCCATTAAAAGGAGCGGGAGTCTATCGACTATCGTGTAGTTGTGGGAAAGTTTATGTTGGCCAAACTGGACGCAACGTCGAGTGCCGCATCAAAGAGCATGAGAGGGATGTAAGGCTGAAGAAGATCCAGCAGTCGGCGGTTGCGGAACATTGCCATGCAGAGGGGCACCGAATAGACTTCGAACAAACAAAGGTGCTGGCTAGGGACAACAGATACTACCAAAGACTGACAAGAGAAGCCATAGAGATCCACCGACATAAAAATAACGTCAACAGAGAGGATGGCTGGGAGCTTAGCAGAACATGGAAGATGGTGGTGAACACGAAGACCTCTTCCCGCCTCACACCGGACGCGACGCAATTAGTTATTAATTAGCTTGTAATTAACGTTAACTGATTATTAATTACTTTTTCCGACTTATATATAGTTACCGATTTTTGATCTCGTCACTTCGAACAATATCTAGTTTTCTACAAACGATATCAAATCGTATCAAATCTGCTGTAAGCTGTATCTAATCTTCGGCAAGAAGTATCCAATCTTCTTCAAGCAGTATCTAATATTCAAGCAGTCTCTAATCTTTAGTAAGTAGTATTTAATCTTCTGCAAGCAGTATCTAATCTTCTGCAAGCAGTATCTAATCTTCTGAAAGCAGTATCTGGTCTTCTGCAAACACGGTATATAAGTTCCTTCAAGCTTCAAACAGTATGTAGTCATTTATTAGTAGCTTCTAGCTTTTTACAATGAAAATCTCGCCTTCCACAAACAGTATTTTGTCATATGCAAGCAGTATCTAGTCTTCTGCAATAGGAATCTGATATTCTGCCAGTGGTGTATAGTTTTCTTCAAGCTATATACTTCTCTAGAGAAGCGAAGCGACTGACATCAAATTGTTGGTTAAACCGCTCATACAACACATTTTTAACCAACTTCTAGCCTCCTATTTCAGTGTCAAAAATCGCAATAGTTCGATGAAAAAAGTGGCGGTAAAGTTTGTTGTAATCACTGCAATTTCAATTTAAAACAGGTGATAGCATAGTTTATTTTTTCGATATTCCATATAAGGTTTGTTAATTGAACTAAAATTAGAACTAAAACTAGAACTAACACTAGAAACTTTCGGGTTTTGCCGTGCGTCTTTTAAGAAAAGGTTTGACGTTTCGGGTGCCATGTTGTTCGAAGTTTCTAAACTTCGAATCATGGCATCAGAAACGTCAAACCTTTTCTTAAAAGACGCTCTGTTATTAGTTTTTCAAAATTATATCTTACTAATTGTTTTAGAAAAGTGTTAATAAATTGAAAAAATGTAAATATTCTATTATATTGCTCATTAAACAATTTAATTTGGTATCTTGCCCTTGAAAGCATTATTTACATTTCAATGTAAACAACGAAGTTATGAGTTGGGGCGCTTTTTTGGGGCAAAAAGAGAACATCAAGAAATTACATTAAAGGTAGAAATACTAAAACAAAAAAGAAACAAAGATCAACATCTTCTGTTTTAATAAAATCGAAGCAGTTTTCTGAAAGAATATTATACCCTGTACACAGTGTATAATAATTAAATTTTGCAAAATTTCAATTCCAAGCTCTTCTCTTAGTTAATAATTGTTGAACCATATTCGTCTCTCTTTCTTATGGCCGTGAACAGCCATACATTCGATTTTACAAAGCCTGATATGTTTCTCCACCAACAGTCATAAAATATGTTTCATTAAACTGTCTACTGGGTTCATGGACTCATGACAGAAACATTTACGCCTCCCCAGAGGAATGCCTCCCAGATATGGGTGACATCAGGGAAATGAAATACCCGAGCGAACTAAAACTAGCACTGCAACGCCTGATCGAGAATGGGCGACTGAAATACACCACTCACCTACCCAGCTAGCTAGCGTGGCGTTTGGAGGTTAAAAACCTCTTATTAAAATGAAGATATCAGGTGAGGATAATTTATCAGTCTATTCCATAGATTCTAAAGTTTATAATGGGACTAACTAAAGTTAGAAGACGAAGTGAACAACTGATAAAACAAAAACACGGACATAGTTTCTACCACATGAGAGATGCCAATGGACAATTAATAACAAGAGATGAGATCCTTCAAGAGGTTGAAGACTTCTACAAATTGCTGTTCACATACCAAAACGAATAAAACATCATAGGAGACGAGGAGCCAGAAATACTTAGTCGAAAAAAGCACTACCAAGTATCACAATAGTTGAAATTACTTTACTTGAATAACAAATTCCCAGACGATGATAGCGTACTCACTGACGCAATTAAAATTGGAGCCTACTAATTCAAACAAAGGACCTGTTCAATATGTGACTTTCTAACAGTACATTACCAAACAAATGGCAAAACGCTGCGGTCGTACTAATCCAAAAGAAAGGAATTAACCCTCACGAATTAAAATATTATAGACCAATAAATCTTCTCAGTCGCTTATATAAACTCCTCACAAGAATACTAACTAAGACTAATAGTACGTAACTAAGCTTAAAAATAAATTCGACTTCTATTAACCAATAGAACAAGCGGGATTTCGTAGAGGATTTGAATCACTTACAGAATATCAAAATGATAATTGAAAAGCCATCGAGTACAACAGGCCACTTGTTGTGACTTTTGTTGTTTTCCATAAAGCATTCAATTTGTATAAGCTATACATAAATATTTCTTTTTAGTATTAATAAGCTGAAGCAACTTTGTTGCCAAGGCAATGGTGCAAGTATTGCAAAGCTATAAACATAGCTTTCTTTTCAGTATTATTATGTTGTTGGAACTTGGGACAGCCTCTCAGCCGAGGCAATAGCTCAAGTATTACAAAGCAATAAGTAAATGTTAACAATATTTTTTGTATCAGGGATAACTTTTGGTTAATAAATGGAGGGAGGAGTCTCCTCATGTTTGAACATTTTGTATTTAGTGAATAAGTAAACTTAAATGTGTGTAGTTTACATCAAGATTCAAGTTTCAAATATTTAAACAAATCCGGTAATCTACATTTATAATCTTTCCCCTGAAAATGTTGGTTGTTTGAAAGTACTTTAATTAATTCGGTGTGGGTTTTGGCTTGGTAAAACATCTATGTAAGGTACTTTCACTTCCTAAAAACATCATCTAGAATTAATAAGAACTTATCATAGAAAAGCTGACAATAGAGTACTTAAACACAATCACCAGTGATCATGATGCATATTCATTTTTATCAAATAATTAAGTATATTACTGCCATTAAATACAATTTTTGTTTTAATTGTCTGTTCGGAATTAAGAGTACAATGATTACTTGGCTATTCATTACTAATTCTAGAACATATACCACTCATTTAAAGCATTGGAGTAAGAACAAATTAAAAATGATATTGTAACTAATAAAATTTTAATTTCAGAACAATTTCTATTTGGTCATTAACCAACAACGCCGATTTTTACATTAAAGCCGATTACATAACACCAATTTACATATCTGACATTGAAAAAGCTCACCACTCGAAAATAATTGCGATAAACCCGATAGAAATAGAAAACTCAGAAGGATACATAAATAAACAAGTAAGTGACATTTATAGGTTATGTGTATGACAGTAATATTATAGGTTAACTTACTAATTTTTAATTTCCTTTTAATTTATTGATCTATTTCGCACTTTCACTTCAACCAAGTTCTTGACCCCATAAATGACCCACTATATCCATTTTTAATTTTACTTCTCACACAAAAAATACAAAACACCTTTATCACTTTGCTACATAAAGAAATTCTTTAGGTATAGGTTATGTTTACACTTTCAAAGACCTTGACCTTGTTCTTTATAAACACATGTTACAACAATAAATTAAGTTATTACTTTTAGATAAAAATTTATTCTTAAATTTATATTTTTTAAATTATTATTGATAATTATTAATTAATTATTACATTATTTAATTAACTTTGATATTTGTTCATAGATCTATACATTAGATGAAGATGGTTTATTAAAAATTTGGTCGATGATAAAATTGAATAATTCAAATTACACTTTAAGTTTACATATAAACTCAACGATCGATTTTAAAGACTTGTATAAGAACTTAAATAATTTACAATGTACGGATATGTGTGTAAATAAATTAGATCCAAATCAAATTTTTGTGTCAACGAATTACGGAAACATTCTACATTTTATAACGACTGGAAAGAAAACCCATCCGAAATTTTATACCGACAATAATAACGATAGAATAGCTTCGAATTGTTTAATAAATTGTCCGTTTTCGCCTTTATACTTTTTATGTGGCTATCAAAACGGAAATGTTAAACTTTACTCGAGAGAGACGGAGAAACCCCTTATGACGATGTCAAACAAAGACCAAGAGTCGTCCATAGATCTTATACAATGGTCGATAAATAAACCTTGCGTCTTTTATACGAAAGATAGCAAAAATGTTGTTCATATTTGGGATTTAACAAAAAGCGATATTTTTCCAATATGTTCGTTAAAGTTTAACGATCGCATTGATTATATTAAATTATCCCCCAATATTTCACAAAACAATACCATAAAAAGGAGTTATTTAGTTATTATTACTCGCAATAAATTTGTTGATTTGTATGTTTTAAATAAAGAGCACGGCCAACAAAATAAACAAGATTATGATGATAATGTCCGTAAATTTACGAATTATGTTAATAGATTGTAAATTGTTGTTTTTTAATAAACATAATGTTTAAATTTGTGTTCCTTCATTAATTCCAAAACTCCCACTTTAGGACAAAATGTAGAGGTCATCAGAATCATGGAAATTCAATTACGAACTGAAAGCTCCAATAAGGTAAGTTTAAATCCAAGTTAGTTGGAAGAATGGCAACAACACTATGCAGAAAGGCTCTACGAAAATAGACAATACTTGACACAATTACCAACTAACTATTTACATAAATTACATATCGTGACCAATCAACTTTGCACCGGGACCCTAAGGATCTATTGTACCCCTCTAATTTGTCTAATTTTGTTCCTAACGAACATTAATACCTTGCTCGGTGAAAAGTCAATCAGATTCTTTGGGAAGATAAACTACGACCCAAAAATTGAGAATCTGATACGATTAACAGCAAGGCAGTGGCATAAAACATGCTCAACCGTCCTCGTCCTCCACACATACTCGGCATTCAACATAATCGGCTAGACCCAACAAATTGAGGCGTGTTTTTAATCGGGAGCGCTCAGCAAAGACACCCATTAGAACTTTAATGCTGCTACGAGCAAGTCCTAAAATATTCCCGTGTTTGACAGTAGCGATGTTAATGAACACCTTAGCATGTCTCATTCCAGGAAAACTGGTCTACAGTAGGCGAAGTCTCTTTTCAGCCCACAGTTCAATCCTATGTTTGGCCATCGCATACGATACACCAACTGCTGGTTCTGGCCCCACAAACGCTTTAGCGTTGCCTTCTCGTGTTAGCTCATCTACCGTTTCATTATCGGCAACTCCAGAGTGACCTGGGACCCAAATCAGAGAAACTGTTATCACAACTCAGTGTGTTTAACCTTAGGATACTTAACCAATAAAATGTCGTCATTTACATAATCCGGGCTTCTGAGACCCGTTATACATATAAAATCACGTGTAGTCAGAACAGAAACAAATTTATTGAAGTAAAACTTTATTTATTTATACATATGTACGTTGCAAACGTGAGGTTAAATATGAAAGTGAACATTATTGTTCAAAAAAAACATTATTGTTTATTGTTTTTAGGGATTAGAGAAGCATTTAGTGCACATTCTAATACTATGCTCATTACAGATATTATTTTTACAAGTAATACATATCATTGTGCTTTTACGATCAATACTTGCGGGACATACTGAGCATCTTATTCTCTTAATTGTTGCACTTGTGTGAGCGGCTGGCGGACCACATATATCAATAAATATGCTCATACACTCCCGGACAGTACGCCGTAGGTTAGGGTTAGTAGACCTTCTCTGCATATGTGGTATCACTAGTTCCTTCGCTAAATCTTTCAAAAACATTCTGCGTTTGTGAGTCACTCCTATGTTGTAGTTTGGATGTTCCTTCGTAAAGGCTATATATGCATTGAGTGTTGCAACATCAATGATGTTGAAGAAAAATGTCATGGGCCATCCTTTACTTTGCCTCTTGCACGTGTATGTCGACACCATTTGATCCATGATATCAACACCGCCCTTTGTTTTATTATAATGAGAGATGATTTCAGGCTTCCTCTTAGCGTCGTCATTGATACATGCCTCGTGGCGCATGGTGCTTAGTAAAATTACGCATTTGTTCTTTTTACGTGCGTAACTTACCATGGATACGTTATTTTGAAAACAAAACAATGAAGAGTAGACTACACGATCTTTTGACGCTTTCATTTCTTTCGGAATATCACTCTTATTCTGACGTAGTGTACCCACAACAGTAATATTTTTATCCAACAGATAAGTTGCTAGCGGAACACTAGTGAAGAAATTGTCTATCGTGAGATTGCGACCAGAATTATGAATGCCACGCACAAGAGTTTGTACTACTTCAAGCCCCAGGTTTTTATGTGGACCAACATAAACTAAGCCATCCAAAGCATAACCAGACGTAGATTCACACATCCAAAATATTTTAAGTCCATATTTTGCCAGTTTACTTGGCATATATTGAACGAATGTGCATCTACCTCTAAACCCAACGAGTTGTTCATCAATAGTTACATTAGTATCAGGTATGACGCAGGTTTTGCATTGCTGAATGAATAAATCCCAAATGTAGGACACCATTGCTAACTTATCGGTTTCCAAACGCGCATTCCGGGTTCTCTTGTCGTCAAATCTGACGAATCTTCGTATTTCTTCAAAGCGAAATATGGACATTGATGGCTGGGAATGTGGCTGGAATATGGCTGGGATGTTCCTGGCTCGATATACAGGAATATCCCAGCCTCTGTCAACTCCCGCATGAATAAGTAAACCACAGAATGCAAGAAATTCATCAACAGTTACATCTTTCCACGGTTTTCCTGTTGCTCCATAAACACGTTTGCCCTCTAAATTAGTACAGTTCACAATTTCTTGTACAATAACTGGAGTTACAAATAACTGAAACGCTTTTTTTGGTGTTGCAGCCATATGTTTCCTTGCTAGTCCTGGCGCACGCCGAATAATGTTGTGTGGTTGAATTTTATTTTTTGCTGGAGGTTCCAAACTCCATACCAGACCACTTGGAGCAATGTAACCGCTCGTTGAAGGCTTACCAATATCATCAACATCATCCTCTGAATTATCGTCACCATGATCAGAACTGGATCCAGAATACTCGTCAGGAACCAATTCTAAATTTCTATCTTCTGTGTCATCATTTTCTGCTTCTGACACATCACTTTCTTCAGAAGGCAGATCTTCACATTCAGCTGCCCACTGCACCAATATTTTTTCATAACCAGGGTCACCAAATTTCACGCTTTTCACATTCCTTTTTGACGCCATTATCATATGTATCTCACAAGTTCACTCAATCCAACTTCTATTCCAACTGAATGAAAAACAGCTGCACCTACTTTTATACATCCAACAGTAATGCACGTCCAGGCCTGAGAGGATCGGCTAACGCATCCTAGGGTTAATTTATTATTTTAATTTAGTGAGATCCTTGCGCTTGATGCTTGCTCACTGTAATAGATACACCTGGAACGCCTGCTCAATGGACAAAAATTGGTCCTCGATGTTAGAACGGGCAAGCTGTAAATCGTGGTTATTCATCTTTGTTGCACTCATTGGTGGTAAAGGGAAAATTGTGTTTAAGCAATTAGTAAATATTTTTATTGTTTGTTTGAAGTAATTATATAGATTTTTAAATATATTTTAAGATACATAAATGTTCTATACCTTAGCCTCGATGAGTATTTCACATGAAGTCCACAACTGGAAAGTGAAACTGACTTGGTTTCAATGTCAGACCACAGGTGGATCACTTTTGGTCTAGGTATAAAAAAGATTGGGAAAAATCTGAAGCGAAACCCCAGGAACACTGACGTGAACAAGTTCAAGTCGGTGTTATCAGGGTGTTTGAGCGATATAAGGTTAATCCGACCCAATTCGAGCAGGGAATGCAATTTGAGTTTAAAAAAAATGTTCGTCGAAAAAAGAGAGGGACGTGGAGGAGATTCTGCGAAGAAGTCACATCTGGAAACGAACTCTCTCGTCTTAAAAGGGTTCTGGCCTCAGACCCGGACCGGCGAATAGGTTTATTTCAGAAGGATGACGGTTGCTAATGTTGCTATACCGACAACCTTTTGCAAAGTTTATACCTTCTAATGAATGTGCATATTTCAGGTTCGGTAGACTCTATAGTAGCTCATGGAGACACCAACCACACACCGACTGCAGAAGACTGGCTGTTAGCTGAGAAGATCTGCACGTAGGACAAAATGAGCTGGGCAATAAACTGCTTTTCACCTTTCAAAGCTTCTGGAGCTGATGGTATCGTACCCGCCCTGCTGCAGTGGGGATTGGAGGAATTGATGCCTCACTTAAGGAACATATTTCAGGGATGCCTGGCGTTTCTCTACATTCCCAGTTGTTGGGTTGGGTTGGTGAGGTTTTGGTTGAAACTACTTCCTTCCGAAGTCTTTTAGACCAATCAGCCTCTCCTCGTTTTTATTAAAAACCTTAGAGAGACTGTGTGATCGTTACATAACGGATGTCTATCTTGTCGATAGACCCTTAGATTCTAATCAACATGCGTACACCCAAGGCAAGTCCACACTGATAGCTCTTCACAGTGTGACCAGTTTTGTTGGGAGGGCGTTGGACTCCAAAGAGTCCGCCTTGGGAGTAATGGTAATAAAGAAATTACCATTACATTAAAAAATAAGAATGTATCTGAACTATAAGAAATAGATAATAATTATGTCATGATGATATTAGATTTCAATCAGTGGAAATGAGGCTGGTGTAATAAAAAGCGTGTTTTATAGTACAAAACAGTTTATTAGTAACAATTAAGTCAAGCTATCTAAATATTATAAAATAAAATAGTTTTGGTACGCTTTGTCGAAGCCCTGCTTTGTTACCCAAAATTTGTTGAGTCATTTTCTTCGAATCGGGATGTTTAAAAAGGTTTTTTGATAGCAATGGTATAAAATGGGAAGTCACTGCAAAGATCAGTTTAGCTTTGAATTTATCTTTGTCACACTGATTATTAATCATGAGTGATTTATATATTCTTTCGAAATATTCAATTATTTTATACACACCATTTGATGGTATGCAAAATTTTCCCTTTGACACAAATGTAGTGAATGTAGAAACTACATTAATGTTAAGAGCATAATTGTGTTCATTTGTGTTTTTCTCTAAAACAATATTTTGGCAATCTTGACAATTTGATTTCAACAGAAATTTTTTGATAATGAAGCCACTTATATAAAATAAAATATTTTTCTGTACTGAAGATAAACACACTCGGTCAACACATTGCATCATTTCAGTTAACTGTTCATCTTCAATGTTGTCTTCTCTTTGTACCTCAGAATTTTTTGATACCAAATCAAATATTGTCGTCACTTCGTCATCAAAATGTATACTGTTACCGTTAATTGCAGGCTGTAGCGTTACCGTCACAGAACCCACCTGATGTTAAATTCAAATATTTGTAAAATCATTATACCATGGCGTTGTCATGAAAATTTATTATTGTTTACATTTTAATAAAACTTCAGTTCATTTCCATCACTTTCATAACGAAACACGTTTTGTATATTAATCCTTAAAAAGAGGTTATAAGGATATATTTTATTTAATTCACAACTAAACAACCTCACAGGCGTTACATTGTTGGAAACAAGTAATTTTCTAAGAGCCCATTTAAATTCTAAACAGTTTGGATTATTGTTCCATCCCGTTCTTGCTCTAATACAGCAAAAAAATAGCTCAAGATGGTCTTGGGACGTCTTATACGTCAGAAAATATTTTAAGCTTTTAGACCCGTGTGAATGAGATCATATGTTAATTTTTCATAGCTGTATATATTAACAAACCTAAAGCAAACGTCTTTCGCATATGTTGAAGAAGAGTCTTATTTCCAATCTTCAATTGTTTTATATAGGTTTTGTTATCTAATGATAACGGAGATTTACTGTACTTTGCATAAACACATCTAGAATTCATTATATCAAAAAGTTGATCAAAAATCCTCAGAAACTCAGTTGTTGCTTCACTATTAAGAGGATAACCTATTAGCGAAAACAAATACCATTTTATTCAGCCATCGTTTAAAATTTTTGTATGTTTGTTACATCAAAATTTCTATTTTTTTATATAATTTCTAGTGATGCATTTAGTTTTTTCAAAAAATGTCGCGTAACGTTTCTAAAATCACGTTTTAAAAATTTTTTAAAAACGGAATGCATTACCAGGTAGTGAAATGTAAAGTAAATCATATTTAAAGAATTCAATTTTTTTATTAAATGCAGCAAATTTAAATAAAACGGGTTTAAAACGTTTTGTCGGTTTTGATTGCTTTCGGAGTATAAATACGGCAACATCGCAAATATTGCTACGTCCCAAACATTGCCCAAGACATAGTGGAGCTATGCTGTCTATAGTGGACCGAGAATACTACTCGGTAACCGAGACGTCGGCGTAGTGTCTCGCAAGAAAAACAAACCTGAAGCGATTAATATTTTCAGATAGATCAAAAAATTTTTATATCACTAATTTAAATTTAAACATTTAATTTACGTAGAATGCAAAACAATGTTTAAGTGTGGCAATAAATTTTTAATAATGAGAATATTTGCACAATTATCTGATCATTTACTATTAGATTAATTATTAAAATAAATACCAAAGGTATATTTTAAAATAAATAATACAACATAAATAATAAAAAAATATATTAACTCATAAAAAACTAAAAATTTTCTTAATAAACAATTTTTGCATTTTTTCAAAAATTTTCTGATATAAGGGTACTAAAATTTGGAGAAAAACAATCTCTATCAAATGAACCTAACAAAAGGGTACATTGCCATTTAAAACAATTCAAGTGTTATTCGTTGCTCATTTGTTTTCTGAAATATAAACAATTGAATGTTGTGTTGCTGTCCTATTATGGCAAATAAAATATTAAACAACTTTTGTATAAAATGTTTTTTTATAAAGTCAACATTTACCGAGATATATACTATATTCCATAAATAATGGGCACCCTGTATAAAAATATATGGTGGTTCTGTAAGTGATGGCATAATTTCAACCACATATACTGCTAGAGCAAAAATTATGACAACTAGTGTAAACATTTTTAATCTTTAAATACAGGTTGATTTATTAGCTCACCATCAAACTTTGACATATGATAGCTAATCCAATTAC